TAGCTGCCTTGCCCCACAGAGCCTCTGGTAGGAAGATGTAGGAGAGTGACCCACATCAGGTAGTAGAAAGCCATTATAGAGAGTGGGGAGAATAACAGCATGATGACACCTGAAAGAAGAGCAAATGCAGACACTGCAGTCTAAGAAGCTGGCTTGCAGCTTTCCACCCTCGACTCTCCCACCCTTTGTTTTTCATTCACAGCGCCAAAGAGGCAGACAAAAAAATACGTACATCAAAAGTATGTGTTTCTAGTTATTTCTGCCATGATTGTTGGTGTCTGTCTCCCCTGATAATAAACTGTAAGTTCTGAGGCAGGGACTGTGTTGTGCAGTTTACCAATCTGAGTCCGAGGTATCCAGAACATGGTCGGTGCTCCCTAAATTCTGTCGAACTCATTAATAGACAACAAATACTAAGCATCTACTATGTGACTGGCACAGTTATTGGCACTGGGGATTATAGTATGAATAAAAGTCCTCTGTTGGGGTAAATTTAGTGTTTATAGACAATTTTTTAAAAACCCATCAAGTATAATTATGTGAGATGATGATCAATTCTATGGGGAAAAATAAAGCAGGGTAAGGCAATAGGGAAGGCCGAGGAGGTACAGGTGGCGTGCACAGCAGTGATAACCCAAGTGGACATTTCTACTCACCTCCCACATAAACCACTTTTTTCCAGTTGTCAGACTCCAGGATTGCATCATGCGGGTAGTAGCTCTGGTCCATCATGAACAGCACCATGAGTGAGGCCATGCAGCAGAGAATGAATGTGTTGCCTTTGGTCAGAAGAGACATGGAAGCCAAAACACAGGAAGCATAGGGGCAGGGTAGCCCCTTGTATGCTAAGGGAACTCCTGTCAGGGGAAGAAAACTGGGATTAGCTGCTTCCTCTGCTGTAAGAGACCTAAGTGAAGCAAGCCCCTCTCTCTTTTGGGTCTTCCCCTACCCAGCATACAAAATTCCCTTAAACCCAGGGGCAGTGGCAGACCACAAATCATTTATTCATAAACAGATGATGCGTGGGTTTCGCATTGGGTTTCCAAGGGAAAGCAGGCAACCAGCTAGGACCAGGGGTGTGCCCTGGCTCATGGGAAGTCTCTGCTGGAAGGGTCCTTTCAGATCTGCTAGTCTAAGCCCTGTGCTGCACCTGATCTCCCTCAGTTTGTGACGTTAGCTAAGGCAACTGCCTTCCCCAGAGCATGGTTTCTCTGTCTGTCTGGGGGGAACAGGAGTACAACCTCCGGTTCTAGAGTCCACCTCTAGAATTGATGTGTTTCATACCAAGGTCACGGGTCACGCAGTGAGAGGAGGTACAGCTGCTCCAAGAAATGAGGCCCCTGCCTCCCAGACCAGGGCTCTGCAAATGCAGCCTCCAGCCTCCAGTGGGCATGGGGCATGGGGCATAGAAGAGGGAAGGAAGAGGGACTCCAGAAAAGGAATCAGTTACTACACCCAGGCTCCTGCCATCTGACAGCCTTTCCCCGTTCGTGGTGGTCCCCTGCCCTCGGTCCTAAGGCTACCTGGGTTCCACTCACCAGTTGAATAAAAGCACAGGCGGAGAGAAGTAGCTGACACATAGATGATTGTTAGCAACCCGTTTAGAAGCCCGTTCGCACCTAGGAGCAGGGCTGAAGCCAGGCCAAAGGTGGTGAAGACAGCAAAGTCATTCAGCTCAGCTCCTGCCCCAGAGGGCCCAAGGTTAGAAGAACTTACACTCCTAAATCTTGCACCTTAACCCCCACCCCATGAGGGAGCTGCAGCAGTGACAAGTGGGTTTGGGGGGTCCCAGAGAGCAACAGCTGCTTCCCAGTAGACTGGAGTCTCCTCCGGGCTCGGCTTCAGACCAATTCTGTGGCCTTGAGCGAGTCGTTCCCTCTCCAGGTCTTCCTTTCCCAGCCCTTCACATGCAAGGGTTGGACCACAATCGGATGCAGGTTGATGAGCAGTGGAGCCCTTTTTTTCAAGCGAAATCTTACCTGGAAACATTTTCCTATATTCTAAAGCGGCTGCTCTGCTTGGGGTAGTTTTTCATCTCCTCCCCCCAACATTCCCACTGCAGTACCTGGATCGGCCCAGAAGAGGGGGCGGGGCAGGTAAGGAGACTGAGAGGCAGGACAAGGACTGGCCCAGCGGCAGTGAGAGAGCTAGCGGGGGAGCTGAGCTGGGGCTGGACGGTGGGGCTCCCTAACTCCTGCTCCAGGATGCATCTGCCGCTCTCAGAGGATGTGAACAGGAGAGGGTGACTGATGAGGGCAAGGGCTGCAGGATGCTGGAGGATGGAGGGGTGACCTGAGACAGATGCTCGTGGGGGCAGGGATGGGGGGCTGGGGCCTGGACTCACCCGATCTGGAACAGATGCTGACGTGTCTGGTCATTGTCCTGATGGTTATGTCTACCAGGAAGCCGACCAGAATCATCCAGGAGGCACAGTGGGATTTCCTACAATGCAAACCAGCAGCCCCCAACAGGACAGCTCTTTCATGGTGTCCCCTGGACAGCCACTCCACTGCCCCATCCATGAATGCACTTCCCACACTTGCACTCATACACACACCCCTGCACGCCCTCACCCTCACAACCTTTCGGGTATATACTGTTTTACACACCAAACCACACACACACGCCTATATCCCTCACATACTCTTAACCCACAGTCTTGAAGGGGTGTCCTGAACCCCCTAGGTAATCACTAAGGTCCCTTCCAACTCTAAATACCAGACATTTTTGACGGCACAGGGGTCTTAGTTCCAGCCCGGCCTCTACCACCATCTCCCTGTGAATTCTAAGATAAATCACCACCTGCCTCTCCAGGCCTCTGTTCCTCCACATGTCAAATGAGGGGTTTGTGCTAAATGATTTCTTTAATGGATATAAACCTATTCAGATGATCTGCTTCTCCTTGTATGAGTTTTGGTAGCTTATGTCTTTTAAGGAATTGATCCTTTTCATCTAAGCTATTATCTTTGTGGGCAGAGAGTTTTTCATAGTACTCCTTTATTCCCTTTCAATGTCCATAGGATCAGTAGTGATGGCTCTTCTTTCATTTCTGATATTGGTCATTTCTGTTTTCTCTCTTTTTTTCTTGGTTAGCCTGGCTAGAGGTATATCAATTTTATTGATCTTAAAGAACCAGCTTTTGGTTTCATTTTCTCTATTAATTTCCTATTTTTGATTTCTTTGATTGCTAATTTAATTTTTATTTCTTCTTTTTTTTCCTACTTGCTTTGGATTTAGTTTGTTCTTTTTCTAGTTTCCTGAAGTGAAAGCCTACATTACTGATTTTAGATCTTTCTTCTTTTCTAATATACTATTGCTATAAATTTTCCCCCAAGCACTGCTTTCCCTGCATTCCATAAATTTTTCTTTTTTGAAACAGAGTCTTGCTCTGTTACCCCGGCTACAGTGCAGTGGTATCATCATAGCTCACAGCAACCTCAAACTCCTGGGCTGAGAGATTCTCCTGCTTCAGCCTCCCAAGTAGCTGGGACTACAGGTGAATGCTACCACATCTGGCTCATTTTTTCTATTTTTTTTTAGCAGAGACAGGGTCTCACTTTTGCTCAGGCTGGTCTCCAACTCTTGAGCTCAAGCAAGTCCTCCTTCCTGGGCCTCCCAGAGTGCTAGGATTACAGGTGTGAGTCACCTGGCCCAGCCCATAAATTTTGATAAGTTGTATTTTCATTTTCTTTTAGTTCAAAATATGTTTACTCTCCTGTGAGAATTCTTCTTTTTATCATGTATCATTTAGAAGTGTTTTGTTTAATCTGCAAATATTTCAGAATTTTCCTGCCATCTTTCTGTTATTGATTTCTAGTTTAATTCCATATGGTAGGAGAACACACTTTGTATGATTTCTATTCATTTAAATTTGTTCAGGTGTGTTTTATGGCCCAGAATATGGTTTGTCTTAGCAAATGTTCCAAATGAGCTTGAGAATAATGTGTATTCTGCTGTTGCTCAGCGTAGACTATAGACGTCAAATGCATCCCGCTGATTGATGGAGCTGTTGAATTCAGCTATGTCCCTGCTGATTTTCTGCCTGTTAGATCTGTCAGTGACTGATAGAGGAGTGTTGAAATCTCCAACTATGATAATGACTTCATCAATTTCTCCTGGCAGTTCTACCAGCTTTTATCTCTCTCTCTCTCTCTCTCTCTCTCTTTTTTTTTTTTTTTTTTTTTTTTTTGAGACAGAGTCTCGCTTTCTTGCCTAGGCATAGGAGTTGAGTGCCATGGCGTCAGCCAAGCTCACAGTCAAACCTGCCAAAATCCTGGCTCAAGCGATCCTCCTTGCCTCAGCCTCCCGAGTTTGCTGGGACTACAGGCACAAGCCACCATGCCTGGCTGATTTAATAAATATATATTATATTTAGTTGGCCAATTAATTCTCTTCTATTTATGGTAGAGACGGGTCTCGCTTCAGGCTGGTTTTGAACTCCTGAACCTGAGCAATCCGCCTGCCTCGGCCTCCCAGGTACTAGGATTACAGGCGTGAGCCACCGCGGCCCGGCCTTTTTTTTTTTTTTAAGATAGGTCTCACTCTGTGCCCAGGCTAGGGAATGGCATGTCGGCATGGATAGTGCTGCCTGCAACCTGAATCTCTTGTGCTCAAGTGATCCTCCTGCCTCAGCCTCCTGACTAGCGGAGACCGTGGGTACATGCCACCACAACCGTGCTAATTTTCCTATTTTTGTAAACTGGCTCTTCATTATGTTGCCCAGGCTGGCCTCAAACTCCTGGCCTCAAGTGATCATCCCACCTCAGCCTCCCAAGGTACTGGGATTACAGGTGTTGAGCTACTGGACCCAGCCTGTATCATGTGTTTTGATGCTCTAATTGATTTCAAGAGCTCCTTCAGACCCCACATTCTTTTTTTTTTTTTGAGACAGAGTTTCACTTTGTGCCCAGGCTAAGTGAGTGCCATGGCATCAGCCTAGCTCACAGCAAACCTCAATCCCTGCAGCTCAAGCAATTCTTCTGCCTCATGGCCTCCGACTAGGCTGGGACACAGGCATGGTGCACCCATGCCCATAATTTGTTATACTATATATAGTGACCAATTAATTTCTTTCTATTTAAGTAGAGAGATGGGTCTCAGCTCTTTTCAGGCTGGTTTTGAACTCCTGACCTTGAGCAATCCCCCCCCCCCGCCTCGGCCTCCCAGAGTGCGTAGGTATTAGGCGTGAAGAGTACCGCGCCCGGCAGACCCCACATTCTTGAGTCTGCTGCTTGTCAGCAAGATGGTCGCAGGTCCCTCTGAAAGACAACCCTCAGTCCCAAGCAAACCTGCCCTTGGAGGCCCATTCCCAAGTCTACACCCTGATCGCAATGCTTAGGTGCCCAGTAGAAGCAAACAGCCTGACCCTAAACCCCAGCTGTCCCAGACAACCACAGCATTCCTCTGTTTAGACCCAGACCTGTGTATCTAAGGAGACTGAGGCTAAATAATACTGAGCCCACCATCACAGCAAGAAGAACTACACTCCCAGAAAATTAGGCTGAACTAAGAGAATAGAGATTTCTGCTGCAGGTGTGCCCTATATATTAGACTCTGAAACCCATACTTAGAGAATCATAAAAATGTCAAGGCTGAAGGAGCTTAAACATCATCAGGTAAAGTCATTCTATTTTATGGATGAGAAATAGATCCAGAGGAAGTCACTTGCCGATGGCACAAGAGAATCGAGTAGATTAGGAGAGAGATTGTATTGAACATGGATTTATTTTTAAATGGCTGATTTCCCAGAGGCCCTGACTGAAAGCCATGTTAAAATATGGCTCAATTTATAGAATATAATTTGTTAACTACTTTGGGCACATATATGTATGTGTCTCAGACTTTCCAGAACAGTGCTGATTTCAAATATTCTACCAAGCATATATATTCTAATTTAAAAATTAGAAAATATGGCCAGGCACGGGGCTGACCTGTAATCCTAGCACTCGGGGGGCCGAGGCAGGAGAATAGCTCAAAGTCAGGAGTTCGAAACGAGCCTGACTGAGAGTGAGACCTCATCTCTACTAAAATAGAAAGAAATTAATTGGCCAACTAAAAATATATAAAAAAAATTAGCTGGCATGGTGCGCATGCTGTAGTCCCAGCTACTCTGGAGACTGAGGCAGAAGGATTGCTTGAACCCAGGAGTTTGAGGTTGCTGTGAGTTAGGCTGACGCCACGGCACTCTAGCTCAGGCAACAGAGTGAGACTGGCTCAAAAATAAATAAATAATAAATAAAATAAAAATTAGAAAATATGAACAGTAGCCTACCCAAGGATTGCATAAATGCTAGCAGAACATAATCTCCTGATTTTCTAAAAAAATAAAAAGAGAGAGAGAGAGAGAGAGAGAGAAAATCTATTCTATCCATTCTATACTGCCATAGCTGGAAACAACTATAGAGATCATAATGTAAGGTCCTCGTTTTACAAAAGGAGAAACTGAGGCTCAGGGATGCGACCGCACTGAGGTTACACATCATTTGGGGGAGCGACTGACTCCTAAGCCTCTGCACTTTGCCCTGACCACCCGCTGATCTTTGCCTCAGTGCCTGGCTCTCTGGAGTTCCCCCTCCCTGCCCCTCTTGCCACTGGGCTCCAGCTCCTGGCTCAGGAGCTTGCTGGGCCCCAGACTTACCTGCTAAAGCAGCAGAAGATGGAGAAGAGACCAGGACCATGTTGACCAGGACAAGGCATTGATAACATTTTTCCAGTAAAGTTCATCCTCTGGGGCAGCACTTGGCATGGCTCAGGAAGGAACTGGTGCCCTGACCTGGAGCCCAAGAGAGAGGAGCAAGGCGTTCTCAAGGTTAAGGAGTCCCAAAAGAGACTCCCAGGGACCCGGAAGCTCCCGTTCTCCTAGACTTCATCACAAATACACACACACACGCACTCACAAATACATATACACACATTCTATTTCATCAGCAGGACTAAGGGAGACGCGGGTAGACGGAGGAGATGCAGAAGTAAAGATGAAGGTGCTGAAGGCAGAGTGTCTTGGAAAAGCTCAACAGCAAAACAGGTGGACCAACACAGCACAGTTTCCACTCCCTCTCTGACCTCACCCTGGCCCATGGCACAGACATCCCTCCCGGCTGTATGTGATCGTGCCTGGCACCACCACCTGCCTGCCAGCAGAGCCCCAGAGTCTGCCAGGCATTGCCGCATCTGTGCTACTTCACAGGGGTTCATTTGTAATTAGTGATCAACTGTCTACTGTATTAGCTCTTTCATTATCTCCTCCATTCACAAAGCATTTTCAGATCTCAGATTTCCATTGCCCTGTGAGCTGTGTCAGGCAAGGGTTCTCATCCCTACTTCCCAGGCAAGGCAAAGGAGACTCAGAGGTGGGAAGAACCCAGCTCTAGGCCACACCAGAAGTGGCAGAACAAGACTTACTTTGCCTTAAGTGCCCTTTCCTCTATACTCTGCTGCCTACAAACCACCACGACTGAACACTGCATTGGTGGTGAGCTTAGCCTGAGCGGGCGCTGGCACAACCTTGGTCCCTGCCTTCCCAGAACTCACAGCCGATCTAGGGAAGGGCGGCTCATGCATGCCTGTGAGGACTTAGACTCTATTCATAGCAGCACCTCATCTTACAGATGGGGAAACTGAGGTTTTGGAATACTTAAGCGACTTGTTCAGTGGAGCCAGGATTTGAACTGGGTCTCCTCTTTCCCAAGTAAATGCCATTTGCAGAATGCACAGGTGTCAGGTGTGAAAGGGATGGCCAGTAAGGACTGTCGAAATCCACAGAAATGAGGACAATTCACTCATTCAGCAAACACCTGGTCAGGAGCAAGATTTTGGACACAGAGGAGATGAAGACTAAGGAACACAGCCAGCAGGGGATCCAGCCCTGCATAGAAAAGAAGTGACCAGGCTACTAAGGGAGCACAGAAGAGGGCTCTGCCTGCTGGGGGGGGGGCGAGTTCTCAGAGGAGTGGTCAGAGCTGAGGCTTTGTGCAGCCCCGTCCCTCCCCAGCTTCTTGAACACCCTCAGGGTGGCAGATGGTAACCAGCCCTGCTCAGCTCTCCAGCTGGCTCTCTTGGTCCCCTTGCCCTCTTCTTGGGACCTCTCTTTGGTCTGGGGTTGGTGGTGTGTTCCCCTGGGAAGCCTCGCTGACAACCCCCCCTGTTAAGTGCTCCTTCTCTGCCTGCTCACATCTTGCGCTCACCATGTGACACTTGGCACTCTGTTTCGCATCACCTACCTTGTCTTCTTCCTTTACTGTAGGGGGTGCAACTTGAGTGCAGACTGAGGTCCCTTGGGCACAGCATGGGGCCTGGTGACAGAAGTGGTTCCATGTTTATTAAATCAATACAGCACATCTCTCAGGTGCTTCCCTGCAGTCCACTCGCTGCATCAAATTCCATCCACCCTGCATCTAACCCTGTTCAGTGTGGCCTCCAAGAAGCTTTCTCAGATGAACGCTCAATAATCCATCCATCCCCTTCAACACACCCAGCAGCTCCCCCATTCTATGATCTTCCATTTACTCATTTAAAAACATTTTTTTTTCTGTGGCTGATCTGTGCCAGGACTTGCGTGTCCAGGGACTGAGAGAAGAACAAAAGACTGCCTGTACCCTAAAGAGGCGAGAGAGGCAGCTGTGTGCAGGGGCGGGTTATGTATGCCCAGCTGCTGTGGGTGCACTTGGAGAGACCAAGTCTGGGGTGCCCTTCACCAGTCTCTAAGGACTAACAAAGGTGGGGGCCTGGGGGTGGGGGGCACTCTTGGCCAAGGGACTTGCAGGTGCAAAAGCACGATGAGGGGGCTGGGTTCCAGGGGAGAGAGCGGTGACTGAAGGCGACATTGGCAGGGAGACCACGGGTGGTGGACGTGCAGGTGTGACCTTGAACTGCAGCCTGAGGGAGGGCAGCGCGGTGTCAGTAAGGCAGCAGTGTCTCGGTTGGATGTGCGGGGTCTGGGCGGTGGCTTGGAGGGGACAAGCTGGAGAAGAGACCAGCCATGAGACTGGTGAGTGGGGGAGAAAGACGTGAGCGAGGAGGAAGGCCAGGCGTTGTGACAGTGTGGCCTGCGGGAGGAGGGAGAGTTAGGACTCTAGCAAAGCCGGCAAGTGGAAATGATCCCGGCGCGCTTGCCAGCCGGCGCTGAAACGCAGCCCTCCCCTCCCCGGCCCCACCCCCGTCGTCTTCCTAGAGGCCAGACACCCACCTTGGGCACAGCGCCGCCCTGGACCGGCGACACCAGAGCTCCCCCCGCCCCACCCAGGCTGTCCCGCCGCTGCCCAGGCCGACCTGTGGAGCCCGGGCGGGTCGCTGACAGCACCTGGGAGGGGCATTCCTCGCCCTCCCGCGCCGCCGCGGACGCTCACCTGGGGACAAGACATGCCTAGATGGAGGCGGAAGGCCCGCACTGCTTCCCCGCCTCCTGTGCGGTGCTGGGGCCGGCCCAGGTGAGGGGGCGCCGCTCGCGACCCAGGTCTCTTACCCTGGCTCTTAGCTCACAATCCCCGAGAGCAGGGAGGGGCTGCGGGTCTACAGTGTGGGCGAAGTTTCCGTGGGCCTGGGAAGGCTCGGCAGGTGGAGAGGCCAGAGCCATCGTGGGCATCTGCTCTGCGCAGTCCCCACTTCGGAGGGTCGAGGGTCGGGCTGGAAGTGCCTTGGAGGGGGCTGTAAAGGGATGCGGGGCGCAGACGGTGCAGGGCCCCCAGAATGCAAGCTCCACGCGCAGGGCCGTCTGCACGTTTGCTTTGCGGCTGTTTGTGCCTGCAAGAATGGCTTAGGGGTACGGTAACGTTTGTTGGATGAATGACAAGCTAGGGAATTGGGACTCAATCCTAAAGATAAGAAGGGAAGTGATAGGGTCAGGTTGTTTCACAAAGATTGTTCTGGTAGCCACTGTGGAGGAAGGATCTGTGACACTGCAGGAGAGAAGAGGCCAGAGCAACAAGGGAATGGGAAGACAGGTGAGACAGGAGCAGCGTGACATGGAATCCCAAGGTGTGAGAGCAGGGAGAGGGAGGCAGGAAGAGCATCCTGGCGGTGACTGTATGTGGCAGTTGGATGGATAGGGTGCTACAGAAAGACACTTTTTAGCACTGGGTAGGGTTTCAGGCACCAGTTCTAACCCTGCCCCACATGCTCCTGCCCACCCTAGTGCTAACTGGAGCAGCAATAGGCTCAGGAGAAAGTGCAAAGGGATGGGCTGCAGCTAGGCGGTCAAGTGACACTTTGCCTGTTCTAGCCACCAGCAAGGGAAAGAGGAGCAGAGGACCTCGTGCGTCCTGAGTGGCTACAGCAGCAGGCGCATTACATGCTGGACAGACAAGCCATCACCCCACTTTCTGGAACCTCTCAACTTCCCTGAGGCTAGTGTGAGCTTTCCCATTCTACAGAAGAGGAAACAGGGAATCAGATCAGTGCACCATAATAATTAGTAGAGCTGAGGCCTGAAAATAGCCTGACACTCAAGTCAGACCTGGGTGTCTGAGAAACTCGGAGGGAGAACCAGGACACAGGCAACAAAAGGTGTGCCACAAGTCCCAGCCCAAGAGTCACGCCAGCTTCTGTCACCCATGTGCTGCTCTTTATTTCTCCCTGCCGTGAGGCCCATTAAAGTGGCAAACTAAAAACTCAGGCATAATGGGCCAGGAACAGTGGTGCACCCACTACCCCCAGCTACTCAGAGGCTCGAGTGGGAGGACTGCTTGAGGTTAGGAGTTCAAGGATGCAGTGAATAGCCACTGCCCCCAGCCTGGGCAACACAGTAAGACCCCGTCTCTAAAAACAAAACAAAACAAAACAAAACAAAACAAACAAAACACAGCTGTAGCATAACTTTAAACCAAGTTTACATTCCATCTCTAATATTTATCAGATGTTTAAACTTGAACATGTTACTTTGTTTTTCTGAACCTGTTTCCTAATCTGTAAAATGGAATTGTTGTGAGAATTAAATGAGATTATATGAAGTGCTTAGCACAGAGCAGAATCTTAATTATTTTTATTCTAAGGATATGATCCACATCTGTTAGCCTAGACATATCCAAAAGCTTCCTTCAGAAGATTGAAAGCAAGCACAGTAGCTGAGAAAGACTTTCCACCTCTTCTGCCAGAAGTTTCTAGCTTCCTCCTATTCTAGCTATCACAGGAAGTGGAGAACAAGAACAGTAAGTTAGGCTACCTTCGCCTGTGCTAACATGGTAGTCACTAGCTATAAGTGGGTATTGAGCATTGAAACATGGCTAGTCTGAATTCAGATGTACTGGTAAGTACAAAATACATACCGGAGTTCGGATTCTTAGTTTAAAAAAAAGAATATAAAATAACTAATAATTTTTTAGTATTATTTGTTGAAATGCTAATAGTTTGGATATACTGGGTTAGATAAAATGTATTATTAAAGTTAATTTCACTTGTTTCTTTTTACTTTTTTAATGTAGCTACTAGAAATGTTTAAATCACACATGTGACTCACATTATATTTCTGTTAGCTCCTTTGCAGGATGTAAGTGCAGAGCTACAGATGTCCATCCCTTTGTCTGCTCACTATTAAAGTATTTATTATGTGCCAAGCACTATTTTAGGTGCTGGAGTTACAAGCAGTAAACAAGACAGAGCCTCTGTCCTCACAGAACTTACACTTAAGTATGGGAGGGAAGCAAGAAATAAATCATTTCTGGTTGTGGTAAGTGATATGGAAAACAAAGCAGGGTCAGGAGTTATTTTAACGTGGGAAGAGTTGGTATTTCTGACAGGGTAATCAGGCGAGTGATATTTGAGTAGGGATCTAAATGATGACAAGACACAAACATACAAAGAACTTGGGGGCAATGTTCCCAACAGATGGGACAGCAAACACAAAGGCCCTGATGCAGGAATGAGCTTGGCGTACGGGAGTACAACAAAGTCAGTGTAGCAGGAACATGGTGAGTCCTGAGAGTGGAAGATCACATACATAGAACCTTGGCGAGAAGTCTGGATTTATTCTAAGTGTAATGAGAAATCCTTGTGGGTTTTTTTTGTTTTTTGTTTTTTTGAGACAAAGTCTCGCTTTGTTGCCCAGGCTAGAGTGAGTGCTGTGGCGTCAGCCTAGCTCACAGCAACCTCAAACTCCTGGGCTCAAGCGATCCTTCTGCCTCAGCCTCCCGAGTAGCTGGGACTACAGGCATGCGCCACCATGCCCGACTAATTTTTTCTATATATATTAGTTGGCCAATTAATTTCTTTCTATTTATAGTAGAGACAGGGTCTCGCTCTTGCTCAGGCTGACCTGACCTGACCAAACTCCTGACCTCGAGCAATCTGCCTGCCTCGGCCTCCCAGAGTGCTAGGATTACAGGCGTGAGCCACCGCACATGGCCTCCTTGTGATGTTTTTAAACAGAGGTGTTATGATCTGACATATAGTTTTAAAAGATGATGCTGATGGTCTCTGTGGAGATGGCCTGACGGAGGCTGGAATGGAAGTGGGGAGACAACCTAGGAGGCTGCCGCACTCGTCCAGGCTAGAGGTGTTGGTGGCCTGGACTAAGGCAGGAGGGTGGAGGTGGTGAGCAGCAGTCATGTTTGGGACATGTTGAAGGCAGAGCCGAGAAGACTTGCTGACTGGCATGGGAAGAACACACGGAATCAAGGATGACTTAGGTTTCCAGGCTCACAACAGCATGAGACAGGTGGTGATGGCAACAGAGAACTGGTGGTGAAACAGGTTTTTGGGGGGAACTCGCTCGAGCTTAGGTTTGGACACATTAAATTTGTAATGACTATGAGGCAAGTGGACATGTCAAGTAAGGCTGTTAGACAAACAAGCATGCATGAAACTTGGGGACAAATCAGAGCTGTAGACCTGAGTGTGAGTCAGCAGCACATGGATGGTACTTAAGCCTTGGGAATGAATTGGGTCACCTGGTAGAGAGAAGGAAGAGAGGGCCAAGGACGTGGCCCCAGAGTGGAAGTGTCAGAAAGACAAGGGTCAGAAGACAGAGAAGGTGCATTGAGTGAAGTAGAAGGGCAGGAGATGATATTTCTCCAAATCCAAATGAAGAAGTAGGGAGTAGTTGGTTGGACCAAATGCTGCTTAAGACTACAGAAATATATTTTCTCCAGGCCTGTGTAGCTCCTTCCTCCTAAGCTCCAGCTCCTGAAGGGAAGGAATGAACCCTACCTTCTGCACTGTGGGGGGTTTGCCCATAGGTTTTAATGCCAGAGGTATGGGCTCAATTGCTTATGAGTTGTCGGAACTTAGGTAAGTTACCAACATCTCTGCGTTTCGATATCCATCCTCTGCATGCCTATCACTACTCTCAAGTGAACTACTCCTACAGTATCTCAATACTCATTCTATCACTCTTGTCATTTACAGCTCCACATAGGACTGCCTTAATTTGCCCAAATAAGATTAAGATTAATGGTTAGACTTGATTCAAACAGGACTGTGTGTGAATCTGACCTCCACTACTTTCTGTGTGCATAAAACCATGGGCTTCTGAATCTCTGAGCTGTTCCTGCATTGTAGAATAGAAATGTGATATACCTCACAGACAGTGGCTTATGTGCAGACTAAATGAGGCCATGGATATACCTGGCAAAATAAAAGCTCACTAGACAGTATTTATCATCTTTGTATCTACAATATCAATACCCTCAATGTGGACTGACTGAGAATAACTTGAGAAGGAAAGACACAAGCAAGTTCTCTTTCCCTCCTTGCAGACCTCCAGGGCAGAGAAAGGGAGCTACAGTCAGCTGTTGCTCACACCCTGTGAACCTGGGAAGGGCCAAGGTGGATTATTGAAGCAGAGATCACTAATTATTCTGGAAAATATCAGGCATGTCTTCCTCCACCATACTTTTCACCATTCACTGAGACACTTAAGCTAGAAGCTCAAGCATTATCTAAGATTCTTTCCTCTCAGTCACACCCCCACAACCTGTTAACAATCTACTTACTTTCAAAATGCCACACTTCATCACATCTAAGATGTTATCCCTCCTCAGACCATTGTTTTATATAGCTCTAAGAAAGATCTAATTCTTGTTTGTTTTTCAAAACCCAAGCAGGCATCAGCTCCTCCAAGAAGTCTTCCTGGATTCTCCAAGCTAAGTAAGGCCCCTCTCCCTGGTGCTGCACGACAGTCCATGCATACCCGTCACAGCCCTTCTTATTATAGTTGTTGGCTTGTGTTTCTCCCCCCACCAGAGTGAGTCTCATTCTGGGGTGCTCTCCGCCAAAACCTGGAACCTAGAAGATGCTTAATACCTATGAAATTATTGGGTGGACAGATGGGTGGGTGAATGAAAAGTGACTACTGTGGATAATCCCATTCTGAGGGGCTGCATCCAAAATCACCTCACATTGTCACTAGCCTTCCCTAAGTGTGGTTAAGTGGCTTAACCAGGAAAGAGCAATGGCACCGCCTGGTGGCCAGTGTGGGGAGTACATCTTATTGAGAAGAAACCGGTTTCTCTCTGAATCACTGCTCTCCAGCTCCAGTGGTTAGGAAGTGTCAAGAGTGAGGCAGATTTGAATTTTCAAATGATCGAGCTGATGACTGTGCAGAATGGATTGGAGAGGGGCTAGAGGGAGAAGCAGGGATGCCAGCTGGGAGGCTGTTTTGTCAGAGCTGAGAGTAAAGTCCAGATCTGTAACTTCAACATCAGCATACTTAATCACTTTGTAATACTGCCTCTTGTACACAGGATTTCACTTTCTCCCTCTTACTGAACACTGTGGCAGACAGATTCTAAGACCTGTCCAGTGATGCAATGATGTCTCCCTTCTGGTAGTCATGCCTCTGTGTGACTCACCTCCATACGGGCTGGCCTAGTGACTTGTTTCTAACCAACGGAAAATGGCAAAGGAGATGAGATGTCACTTCTGTGATTAGACTACCTAAGACTGTAACTTCCATCCCACTGGCACTCTCATCCTTGTTCACTCTAATGAAGAAGCCTGCCACGTTTCGGAGGCTAATGTGGCAAGGAACTAAGGGCAACCTCCAGCTAACAGCTAATGATTGGAGCCCCTCAGGCCTACAACCCTCGAGGAACCAAAATTCTGCCAATAATATAAGTGAGCCTGGAAGCAGATCCTTCCCCAGTCAGGCCTTTAGATGAGAACCCAGCCCTGGCCAAAAATTTGAATGTAGCCTTGAAGGGTTTCAAGTAAAGAAGCCATCAAAATTGTGCCTGAACCCCTGACCTATAGAAACTATGAAATAATAAATGTATGTTGCTTTAAACCACTAAGTTTGTGATTTATTTGGTAACTAATAAAACACCTACTCAAAATGTGTCATTAGCATGGAGGTCAGACCTTTGTACAAACCTGGGAAGCTTTCCATATTCAGAATCAACCACTGTACCACTAATGTCTCTTCCCTACAGCTCTGCAGCACCCCAGCAAGACTTGAGTTGATTCCACAACCATCCCCATGTGAACTGAGTGACTGAGTACCACCTGTGTGACCCTGCTACACTCTAGCCCTGTCCTGTGCTAGGCCTTAGGTGGACAGTGTACAGCTCAAAGGAGCACAGCTTATAGGGAAAGGTCACGGGGTTAGGGCATTACCACAATCCGCACGAGGAAAATCCATCTCCCAAAACAAACTTGGGCAATTGTACCTTCAAGTTCACATCTCTCCTTCCTTTTACAGCACATTGCGATAGATTATATGACACTGAGGGAGTACAACCATGCTGAATATGCTGTAAATTTAGTTAACTCTGCTGAACAAATAGGAAATGAGGTAGAGTCCTATGAGAGTCCAGTCAGAATCAGAACTAGGTAATTTAGCCCAAAGCCCCACTAAAGTTCTTGAATAATTCTGGTCAAAATAAGTTTCAATCTGAGTTAACTCATAATCAACAGGTTGGCTGTTTTTCTTATTTCTCACTCCCACAGCCCTACTCTCTTCTATGATACTTTAAAGCTGCCATTTAATTGCTCTGCTGCAGGTGGCTCAGCTCAGGATCTCCTCCTCAGGGAGACTAGAGAATGGATTCACAAGACGGTTAGTGGCAGCCTCCAACATCTCTTCCAAGTCCTAAGTTCTGTGAGTTTTGAGATAGACCCTCCCCAAACCCCGCCTCTGCTGCAGCCTCAGATTCTCCAGTCACTCTAGCGAGGCAGACAGGCTGGAACGAGCAAGCCAGACCTCATCAACAGCGCAGATTCCAGAATCACACACTTGTCCAGCCAAGCCAAGTCTGTTTTTTAATCATCCTTCACTATCCAACATTCTTGTTCCCAGATGAATTTGAAGCTGGAGTTGCACCAACTGTGAAAATGCCTCACCCCCAACCTTAAACACTTCCAGTTATAAAAAGACTGAAAACAGTTTTCTCTGGAAAATGATCTACCATTGTTTTTGTGGGGGAAAAGAAACTCTTCTTTCTCTAATGCTTTAACTTAAGGGAAGAACAGATGGAGATGAAGAAGGAAAGTACGATGGCCAATACTCTGAAGCTGGGCGGGTATCTGGGGCCTAGAGAAGATCCCAAAAGAAAGTGACATGATTCATTACCATTCCAACCAAAAGTTACAACAGCAGCATTTACAGTCACACAGGGTCTCCTTCTAAGAAGTTTGTGTTTCACCTATATGCCCTCAATTCTCAGAACACCTCCCATCAAGGCAACAGTGGGGGCAACAAGGAGGTGGCAGCCAGCTCCTTGTGAGAGCTGTCAGAGCCCGCTCTCAGTGGGTCAGTCCCTGGAAGTTGGGTTCAGTGCATGAAGGCAGGGCCACTGACTGGCTTAGCAACTTGTCCATTATGTTGATTTTAGCATCTTGCTTCTCAATGTCCTCATACGGAGTCCAGGATAAGTCATGCTGTAGCTTGTAGGCACCAAGGAAGTCATGAGGACGACTTGTCCCCCACTCCTAGAGGAGGCAAAGGAGTCATCTCTGATCAGCATAGGTTGTAAACAAACTGAGCTCATTTCCTACTTATGCCACAATTTCTTTCCTGGCTTTTCACTTCATACTTGTCAGAACCATCCTTGGAAAGCAGCTGCATTACATAGCAGATCCCTCCCTTAACAGAGATAATGAGTGAAATAATTTAAGCATATGTATATTTTTTAGAGACATGTCTGGGCTCACACCACCCCAACTTTCTAAGAAGCCGTTTACCAATCCACACGTCTACATTTTCACACACACATGCCAAGAGTTTCTCAAACACTAACGTGGAATATTGGGCAAAGAATAAATATTCTTACCTTTGGAGAAATAATGGAAAAATACTGCTGACCACTCTCCCGTTTGTAAAGGTAGTAAATGTTGCCAGGTTTTTTCACCATATTACAAGCTACGTGGTGTAAGTCAGCGTCCCTGCGAGCATCTTCCAGGACCTGCCAGCCACAGAGATATAACGAATTAGGTATCAGAGGTAACAGGTGCCCGTATTCAACAATCATCCCAGTCAAAATATGGAAACTGTTCAATGCTGCGGGTTCTGTTCCCCCATAGCAATGAGATCCAGATCATTCTGAAGAAATAAAAATTAGACTATACTACTATACTGTAAAAATTCCTTTAGGAGAATTATACTTCAAAATGTTGGGCATTACTGACTTTGAATGGTTTTTAAGTTTCTTTCCTATTTTTCTGTGGTAAGTACATTTCTTTTATAAATGAGAACATTTTTTCCACCTTAAAATGCTTTACCTCACTGAACTTTCTGATAAAAAATACTTATACTTAACCTCTTAGGCTCATTTCTTTATTTTATTCAACACCTCTACATTTCTGGGAGGTACTGAAGACACATAAGTCGCAATGATTATAAGCAAGTTCAGCCCATCCTGTGAACTAGATGAAAGACAGGAAAGCCTGCCTAAAAGCCACTCCCTACCTTCCTAGCTTGTTCCTGCAAATGTTGGATTTGTTCGGCTATGACCGTCAGCTTGTTGGTGGCATTTGCTCGGATGAATTCGTCAGCCTATGGGTGAGAGAAAACCAAACTGTGGGTTAAAAGATGAGAAGACATCTATGATATTCTTTTATTTGGATCCCAATGTGGAGAGTTCTGTCAACACCTGTGCTTATGCCTGAAGTATTCTCCCCATTCCCCTCACTACCTTGTAAATTCCCCCTCATCCTGAGGCCCAGCTCAAATAGCACTGCTTATGAGAAGCTCATCCTGACGTGACCTCTCCCATAGAATGAAGTGCTCCCTCTTTTCTACTTCCTATAGCTTTCTACCCTTCCACTCTGAACTCTAAGCACACTGAACTTCTGCCCTCTCCTCCATTTAACACATTTTCCCCCTTACTCTTTCTTTTTTTTCTTTGAGACAGGGTCTCGCTCTCTCACCCCAGTTAGAGTACAGTGGTGTGATCAGAGCTCACTGCAACCTCAAACTCCTGGGCTCAGGCAATCCCCCTGCCTCAGCCTCCCAAGTAGCTGGGATTAAGGGAACATGCCACCATGCCTGACTAATTTTTTCTATTTTAGTAGAGGTGGTGTCTCGCTCTTGCTCTGGCTGGTCTCAAACTCCTGAGCTCAAGCAATCCTCCCACCCCAGCCTCTCAGAGTGCTAGGTTTACAGGTATGAGCCACTGTACCCGTCGCCTCTTCCTGTATACCTAGCCCCATGCATTTCTCAGGTCTCCCATTTATTTTCTCATGCTTATCACTTCTCATCCTTTTGGCTAAGATCAAGTGTATCTTCTCATGCTTAAACATTTCTGAAATCGGGGATGGGTCTTACAACGAAAATCAAAAGACACCTGTGATGTGGCTCTGATCATTTGCTAATGTAGGAACCTAGCTATACATAGAAAGTATCTGTTCATGACCTCAGTTCAATTATTTACATCACAACTACTTACATTTTAACTTATATCCATATTCCTAATTGTTACTTAAAATGCATTTTAAAAGACTGCACTATGATGTAGACCTGAAACAAAGTTATAATGTACACAGAAGACAGAAGACTGCCTTTCATGTGCCAGGAAATGCAACTGAAGACAATGGAAATGGTTTAAAACAGATCAAGTAATTCTCAAAGCCAAAAGACCACTTTAAGTGCTGGGAAAGATTACCACTCAGGCATTAGAAATCTGTCAAAAACTTCCATCTTATTTTTAAGAAAAGCTAATTAACTTCCAGGAGTACACAGTTAAGAAAAAGAAATTAGGAGATTAAACTCAAATTTGAACTAAGAAATATTAAGGGAATTTTCTGGTTAGTTGAGGAATCTTAAGGCAAAAGATATAAGCCAGTTAAGTTATGAGTGAACAGAAACCATACAAATAGTCAATCATTTATCTGTTCCACAAATATATAATAAGCAACTATTGTGTGTCGGACACCATGCTGGGCACTGGATGCACTGGCAAACAGGAAAGAGAAATCCCTGCCTTCGTCAGGATTACAGCCTCATACAGTCCAATAGAAATATGGAGCAAGTGCGGCAGTTGATTCTGTCAGTCTGAGTCCAAAACTCATGCCTTAATACCTGGCCTCCTGAGCTTTCTGAACACACACTAACACCTAAGAGGGATGTCAGACGTCAGTCCTGCCAAAAAGCACAGAGGTGGTAAATATGCTTGATTCCATTTGTTTGTCTCTAGAGTGCTTTTTTATTTAGCTTCTTAAAGACTGATTATATTGGAGAAATGGAGGCAGCACAATAATGCATCCTCTATATTTTACTAGACTATAAGATGAAAGATAAAAACTGTGCTCCTTCTTTCTTTGGTTCAGGTCATTCTAATACATACCACACCACAGTCACTCAATAACTCATGAATATGTTGTATGCCCAAGATTTTTGTCCCTGGCAGCCTTCCTCTCAGTAAGAGTAATCTGATTAAATAGATGCACGATATTCCCCTAATCCAAAAAAGTTGTATTTTCCTCCCCCGCTATCTAAAAAGGAAAAGGCACAAGGTTTGAATTAAAGGAGCTTTCCCAAGTATTTGAATTTTTCTTAATTGGAAACAAAACATATATGTATATGTGACAAAATTTGAGCACATTAAGTACTAAATATTTTTGAGCAAAACAAAAACCTTTGCACATAATCAAGGCCAGATCTAATAGTGTATACAAGGACAAGGAGACATCATAAGTGTTAAAGCAGCAGGGCCCTACATCTGTGCATACTGAAGAGGGTTCTGTAACTTGATGTCTTGATAAGGTATTTGGTTTTTCATTGAATGTCAGAGCTTTAGATCTTGGAGCTCTCCTACTTCAAATCCTTCATTTACAGATATAGAAGCTAAGATCTAGAGAGAAGAAATCTGCCTGAATTCACACTGCAAGTTAATGTCAAAAGTGGGGTTAATAATCATGTGTCCAAACTTCCAATGCTTTTTCCATTATTTCCCATTTCCTCTTTATTTTACTTATTTTGGCAATCAATGTCCAAGCACCTGGCTTGGGAATACTGTGTCTAGTGGATGAGGATACAGGACAAAACTTAGAGTCCTTGCACTCCTTGAAGATGTTAAGTACTACAAGCTCTCAGTTAACAGATAAAAGATCTTATGGGAAGCAGCTTAAAATAAGTGGTCTGTGCATCCCTGAAGAATATGAGTTAAAGTGATCTTAAAACATCCCCGGAAACTTTTCTTCATGTATCAAATAGGAAGAATAACTTCTGTACAGTCTACCTCACAGTGCAGTCCTAAAGTGCAAATGAAATAATGAATATTAAAAATGCTGTGCAAACCTTCCTAGGAAGGGAGGTTATGGGCGCTCAGGTTGCTGAAGGAGCCTTTAGCCTCATAAGCTCAGAGTTGGAGTCAGCCACCAGCTCGCTAGACAAGAACAAATGCTGCCCCCTACACTTAGTACTGTGTTTCCCCGAAAATAAGACCTACCCATAAAATAAGCCCTAGCAGGATTTCTAAGCATTTGCGCAATATAAGCCCTACCCCGAAAATAAGACCTAGTGATGGGCTTGGCTATGCAGCAGAGTATCTGCACAACCCATGCGTTTCCTCCCGGAGTGGTAAACAAGACTAGCAGCCCATCTCATCTGCCCCATGAGAGCTCTATTGCTCGACAGCAGAGATTGGGGCCAATGGTTCTAAAGGAAATAGAGTTGCAAGAAATTCAGGATGGAATTAAGGGGTTTGGAGAGTTATGATGATGTTCCAGAAGAAAACGACTTAACTATATTTGAATAAATGTAGATTGTTGTACTGTACTTAAAAAAAATAACATATCCCCTGAAAATAAGCCCTGGGGTGTCTTCTTGGGAAAAAATAAATATAAGACCCTGTCTTATTTTCGGGGAAACATGGTAGGTTTTGAGGTCCGAGCAGATAGACGCGGGACAAAAGGTGAACGAAGATGTTATTCACTTCCCCAGTCACGCCTCTCACCTTCTGCACCTGCTCTGCGAGCGCCACGAGGTCTAAAGGGTCCCCGGCCCGGTGGGTGTGGTAGGGGCTCACCAGGGCCAGGCCGCCGGGCATCGGGGAGCGCTCCACCAGGGCTCCTGCGACACACACCCCGGAACACAGGCGTGAGCTCCCGCCCTTGGCCTCCCGCCCCGGAGGCTAGCTGCCCGGCGAGGGCTTCTTTCCCCCTGCTGACTCCCGGCCCGCAAACCTGCCCGACCTGCCATCGACTGCGCTCCCCGACTTTCAGGGGCCCCCTCAGTCTGCCCCGGGGCCGCAGCGTCCTCCATGACAGCGCCTTGTCCTCCACTACCCGGGAGGTGCGAGTCGGAAGAACATGCGCATAAAGGAGTGTGGGCGGAGCTTCCTATTCCACAGCCATTGGGCGTCGGAACGACCGAGTCCTCCCCGAGCTCGGAGGCGGGGCTCGGGCTGGAGCCCAGTGTTCCGCTGAGGGGCGGGGTCCGGGTTGTTTGAAAGCAAAAGAGGCGGTGCAAGCCTCCTGGGCATGCGCCGCTTGACTTGGAGGCGGAGCTCCCCGCGGGGCGGGGCTTTTCCGGGGGCGGGGCTCCAGGCGCCGTGGCGGGTGGCTAGCGGTCCTGCCAGGGCTGAGGAGGCGATGGCGGCACGCGTGTCGAGGCTGCTTGCCGCACTGCTGGCTGTCGCCGCCGCTGCCTCCCGGGCCGAGGTCGAGACCGAGGCGGGATGGGACACGGCGGAGCCTGATTTGCTCTTCGCCGAGGGGACCGCGGCCTACGCGCGCGGGGACTGGCCCGGGGTGGTCCTGAGCATGGAGCGGGCGCTGCGCTCGCGGGCCGCCCTGCGCGCCCTCCGCCTGCGCTGCCGCACCCGCTGTGCCGCCGACCTCCCGTGGGAGCTGGACCCCGACTCGCCCCCGAGCCTGGCGCAGGCCTCCGGCGCCGCCGCCCTGCACGACCTGCGCTTCTTCAGGAGCCTGCTGCGCCGCGCCGCCTGCCTGCGCCGCTGCCTCGGGCCGCCGGCCGCCCACTCGCTCAGCGAGGAGGTGGAGCTGGAGTTCCGCAAGCGGAGCCCCTACAACTACCTGCAGGTCGCCTACTTCAAGGTGCAGACCTGCCCGGAGCCGGGCGGCCCGGGTGCTTGTGGGGAGAAGTGTTTGCAGGGGCCTGGCGAGGTGTCCGCGGAGAGGGAGGGGGCCAGGGCAGCGTCCGCGGAGAGGGACAGTGGCCTCCTGGCCGGGAGCTCTCCTCGGACCCCGGGACAGCAGGGGCCCTGCCAGGAAACCTGCCTGCCCCGGCTCGCATGGGCGGATGCTAACCCCAAAGGTCTAGCCTGGGATTAGGGCACAAGCCAAGCAAAACGTATGGTGTTTTTATTCTCCGGGAGGTCTCCCCGAAGGAATTAAAGCGACAGCTTGGGTCTCCCATCCTAATTTCATTGTAAATGTCCGAATGAGAAGCTAGGAGTGGTCTGCAATATCTTCCTTCCGGTTCGTTTTCCAGTGGTGCTTTTCCTGCTGCCGGATCCAGCAGCTCTCTTTCAGGACGTAGGATTGCCACGTCGCCAGCAGGGGCTGCCCGGCCCTCCCTGTGGGGACCCTCTGGCTAGTCTGTCAGGTTTCCAAAGAAAATGAGTATTTTTAGGAATGCCAGTATGTCGTATGTCCAAGAGTGCAAATGGGCTTGGAGCGTTCCAGGCTTGTGTGGTGATGATGATGATAATGATAGCCAGCACGGACTTCCAGGCACTGCTTTAAGCACTTTGCGCTTATTGAGCTTATTGACTCATTTGCCCGGATCCTTCCTCACAGTGTCTTGTAAGGTAGATGCTATTATTAGTCCTATTTTATTGAGGGGGAAAAGAAGAATCTGTGCTTCATATCTGTTGTATCTATACTTTAACAGACCTTCAGTTCAACTGAGAGACAGATTTAGAGACTCTTGGGAAGCTCAGATTTCGACGCTCCCACACTCATTCTGCTTACACAGTTCCCTCCATTCCTCCCAGTTACTCAGAAGAGTATTGGACTTGAAACCAAAATAATTGGGCTGTGTCTTTCATGTCACTTAACAGCACTTTCTAAAATTCTTTGACATTTATTGAATTCCTACTACATCTAGTTCTTGTACAGATAATTAAAATGCTTGACTATTTATTTGCTTTGTCTTGCTTTGCTGTTAAGAATAAATGTAGTAACGGCTACCAACAGGGCACGCACATAGTGCTGTGGGATCACAAAGGAAAGAAAATGGAGCTTTGTCTCAGAGAAATTAGACTAGAAAGAAGAGATGGCAAGAGGCTTTCCTAAACATAGGTAGGGAGAGAAGGAGCATGACCACTCCAGATAGAGGGAGAAGTAGAACCAAAGTATGATGTATTCAGGTAAAAGTCAGTTGTGACTGGGGTGTTGGGGTGTGTGTGAGGAGCAGCAGGGGAGGAGGCTAGAGGGGTAAGTAAAGCCAGATTCAGAAGAGAATTCTCCAGGCCTAGGGAGTTGACCTCAGAATTGAGTTTTAGAATGCTCATTCTGGAAGCCATGGGGAATAAGTCTTGCTTAACAGGGAAAACGATTAGGAGATGGGCATTTGTCCACAAGAGAGAAGGAGGTTAGGTGTCTCAGTGATTAGGGAGTGGAGATGGCTGGGGTGGGGAGGGGCGTGAGGAGATGGAAAGCAGAGAAAGGCAAGGCAGTGCTGAAAGACACAGGGAGAGAGTAAATCTGTAAAAGTGACAGACCTGAGACAATTTCTAATTTTACAGTTAAAGAAACTGAGGTAGAGAGGTGGTAATCATTTACCTTGGGTCATCTAACCAGGGATGACTCCTGTAGTGTACATTTACTGGTACCTATGATAAGAAAAAACTTTTTCTTAGCATATTGATAATACCAGCCAACATTTATTGAGCACTTACTAAGGTATGTGCCCAGCATCATGTGTTAGAAGCTGCATGTATATTATCTTGTTGACCATCCCAACAATCCTATGAGATAGCTAGTGAATGCTATCTCCAGATGACAGATTAGGGAACTGAGGTTAGAGAGTAGACTTTAACCTGGGTAAAGCCCAACAAGTGAGTGATTAAACCTAGAGTTGCCGCTGGCCTGACACCAAAGCCCATGTAGTTAATCACTGGATCATCAGTGATTTATTTTCTTGGATTCCGTATATGAACCTGTGTTACTAATATGCTGGAGTCCATTGCTGTGGGCATTATTGGGACTTATAGCACATTTTCCCCCCTCAAATTTCTTATAGCCATTTGTTCTATAATAACTTCATGAGCCCTGGGCTTTATTTTTTTTTTTTTTTTTTTTTTGGCATATTATGGGGGTACAGATTTTAAGGTTTCAATAAGAGCCCTGGGCTTTAAATCAAAAAGACACCACGTCTATAGTTAGTAAAGGACCTTGGGATTTTTGGGCCTCCCAGCTTTTCCCTGGATGTCTCAAAAACACTTGATTTTATTTTATGCAAAAAACACAAATGTATATTCTTGGAAAATTCTTAGGCACAGTCTCATTGTTAACTGCTCTTTCTTCCCTACCCCTAAATCCTTAAAGCCTTAGACTTTCTTCAGCTCAGTCATTACATTTGAATCATGAAAATAATATATTACTTGGGTAGTCAGTCTTCCATAGCACTCCCCCTACAATATGACCTTTGCTTTAAAATAGAACGTTTACACTGCTGAAGCATTACCTCCTGTAATTTGGGGAGCCCCTAAGCCTGACTTGGGAAATAGGTGCAAATCTGCCTGGAGCACTGTGCTCCTATTCTCTGGTATGTAGTTTCTGTAATAGGTGTGTTTTCTGTGGCTGGCAAGGCTGGGCACACTGATGGGAAGGATCAAAAAGGCTTCAGGAGGCTGAGGTTTCCTGTTTATGTGGACTGCACATCTGGACACAAACCTTCAGAGTTGGGATCACATTATCCTTCTTCATTCTCAGATAAACAAGTTGGAGAAAGCTGTAGCAGCAGCACACACTTTCTTCGTGGCCAATCCTGAGCACATAGAAATGCAGCAGAACCTAGACTATTACCAAACCATGTCTGGAGTGAAGGAGGCTGACTTCAAGGATCTTGAGGCCAAACCCCATATGGTGAAAAAAACTTAACCCCTTTTCTCTGTCTCTCTTTTTCAAAAGTGACATTTACAAGGATTGTTTTCTGATTATAGAAATAATAAATGTTCATTTTACAATATTAGGAAAATGTAGATAAGTATAAAACAGAAAGTAATCAATTGTAATATGGCCACCTTAAGAAAACCATTAGTTGATATTTTGTCCTATTTTTTTAAATCTTCCATATCTAATTTTTAAATCTAATTTGGTACCATATTATGTATGTGATTTCATTATCCTTTTTGAACTAACATTGTATCATGAGCCTTTTCTCATGTCTTCAGGTTTTCTTTGAAAACACATTTTATTGGCTGTGTAATTACCCATCTTATGCAGAGATCATATTAGTTCACTAGTCATATTTTTTTTGCTCATGTAGGTTTTTGATTTACACTATAATGAGTGCTACAGTATTCCTCAGTGGTCTTATTCCGTTTGTTTAGCTGGAAAGTATGTTCCATAAGAGAGATTATCTTGATGATATAGCATTTTTATAAAGAGGTTATGTTCACTCACATTTTAATAGTTTAGAAATTGGAATGTTAAAAACAATATCAGGGCAGGGCATGATGGCTCAAGCCTGTAATCCTAGCACTCCAGGATGCTGAAGCAGGAGGATCATTTGAGCTTGGAGTTCAAGACCAGCTTGAGCAAGAGTGAGACCCTGTCTCTACTAAAAAATAGAAAAAATTAGCCAGGTGTGGTGGTGCATGCCTGTAGTCCCAGCTGCTCAGAAGGCTGAGGCAGGAGGATCACTTAAGCCCAGGAGTTTGAGGTTGCTGTGAGCTAGGCTGACACCATGGCACTCACTCTATCCCGGGCAACAGAGTGAGACTCTGTCTCCAAAAAAACAAAAACAAAACAAAACAAAAAAAACCCCAAAAAACAATATCAGAATGACTTTTAAAAGTAAATTGTGTATAGCTGAAAACTTTTAGCCCTACAGAAAAATGCAAGAAAATCACGATGAACTCCCATATCTTTCATCCAGATTAAGAGTTAAGTGTTTTTAAATTTCCAAAGGAACATGTAAAGACCATTTATTTACAAAAGGCCTTCATTGTGTAGTGGCCACCCAGGTCGCCTCTTTCCACCCCATAAGCTGAGGAGCAGGGTATTAGGACCCATGTGGAAGGGGACGAGGGCAGGAGAGAGGGTTCCTCTGTGACCTGCGTTTGACTGCTTCTTTTTCCCAGTAGCATGAGTTTCGACTGGGAGTGCGACTCTACTCAGAGGAAGAGCCACAGGAAGCGGTGCCCCACCTAGAGGCAGCGCTGCAAGAGTACTTTGCTGCAGATGAGGAGTGCCGAGCCCTCTGTGAGGGGCCCTATGACTATGATGGCTACAACTACCTCGAGTACAACGCTGACCTCTTCCAGGCCATCACAGGTGCGCGCAGCTAGAGCCAGGCCCTCGGCCAGGCCTCCCAGGGCTCTAAGGCCAATGTCCTGGTAATACAGACGCAACGTCTTTGGCCTCATTCCTCAATTTCTTAAATCTGGGAATCTGACAAAAAAAAAAAAAAATTGCTTCCACTTGAATGTCTTTGTTTTAACCAGAATTGGAATCCTGACGATTGACCCTGTAGTCATTCTCCATCTTTGATTCTTTTCAGATCACTACATCCAGGTCCTCAGCTGTAAGCAGAACTGCGTCACTGAGCTTGCTTCCCACCCAAGCCGAGAGAAGCCCTTTGAAGACTTCCTCCCATCACATTACAATTACCTGCAGTTTGCCTACTATAACAGTGAGGCCTACTTCCTTTCCTCTGTCTCTGCTCTCTTACCTGTTAGTAAGAAGCTAAAGGCAAGGCAGGCAGGAATTGCGGCCACTGTGCTTCTCCAGCATGTTTGGCTTCTGTGGCTGTGGCAGGCACCATGCCGGGGGATCCCTGGGTATTTTGTTACAAGCCACGGGGACCCAGGAAGCCAGTACCAGCAACCCAAAATGCAGGGAGAGGGAGACTCAAGGCCTCTCTTATCCCTTCTTTAACATTGTAATCTAATGTTGTACTTGAATTAAAAGTAATAGCAAAAGTAAGGGTATGCTACTGTTTAAAACAGCTCAGAGGACATTTCCCAGCCCTCCTCCCTAGTATAGCACTGATGCTTTTGTGGGGTCTATCAATACCCAGAAAACTTCACCAGGACTTTACTGGGTTCCTACTGTGTGGTAAGCATCACAGCATGTTTACAAGTATACGATATTTACAGTTGAGTTTGGGAGACTGACACATATGAACTAGAACTGTTCTGCCAAAGAGACAACCTGCTATAGTAATTTTCCCTCCTCTTCTGAAATGCATAGGCAAAAGAAGATAGGAAGACAGGGAAATATTCCTGAAATTGGTCTAATGATTGGGTGAGGCAAGATATTAAGAGGTATTTGGGGACTGGGTGCAGTGGCTCACGCCTGTTATCTTAGCCCTCTGGGAGGCTGAGGTAGTTGTATTGTTGAGCTCAGGAGTTCAAGACCAGCCTGAGCAAGGGTGAGACCCTGCCTCTACTAAATATAGAAAGAAATTAGCTAGACAATTAAAAATATATAGAAAAAATTAGCCGGGCATGGTGGCGCATGCCTATAGTCCCAGCTACTCGGGAGGCTGAGGCAGAAAGATTGCTTGAGCCCAGGAGTTTGAGGTTGTGAGCTAGGCTGACACCATGGCACTCTAGCCTGGGTGACAGAGGGAGACTCTGTCTTAAAAAAAAAAAAAAAAAAAAAAAAAGGGTATTTGAATTATTTGTGAGATTTTTAAAGATGTGGGCATGTAGAAGGTTCTAATTCTTCTCTGTTTCAATGTTAGGCAGCCGTGAGGACTTTGAACACCTCAAAATCAATTGCTCATTCTGTGTGTACTCCGTAACTTCTGCCCCCCAAATCAGGCCATCCTGTTAGGTAGCTGGTACTCCTTCATCACGTCATCACTGCGTCAGGCTTTGCTGAGACGGCACTTCAGTGGCTGCTGGGACCCAGTGTCCTTTCCTCTCAGCCATTTTTTTGTCCACTTTGCAGTTGGGAATTACACACAGGCTGTCGAATGTGCCAAGACCTATCTCCTCTTCTTCCCTGATGATGAGGTGATGAAGCAGAATCTGGCCTACTACGCAGCCATGCTCGGAGAAGAACAGGCCGGCTCCATCGGCCCCCGTGAGGTGAGAGACTTGCTGTGGGAGCTGCCGGCCGCACTCAGACCAGAGGGCAGACGACAGGGCAGCAGAGGGGGTTTGCGCTGTGTGTGCCGGGCAGGGGGCCAGGGGGCCAGGCCAGGTGTGAGTTCACTGACTCGGCGTGTCGCTTGGAGAAGAAGGGAGCACAGGGATCGCGGGGAATACACAGGAGCATTGATTAACGTTACAGGGCCCAGGGGTCTGTTTCTCGAGTTGCACAGAAGCAGAACTGCCCCCCTCGCATCCCCCATTCGGGCACTTGATACCATTTGGCCAAGATCTGTCATTGTTCACTTCCTGCTATTTTTTTTACCTGCTCCCCTGTTTTCTGTTTACCTCCCCGTCCCTTCTTCTTCCTGCCGCTTTTTGTCTTCTCCTTCACCTTTCAGCATTTTCCCCATCTCCAAAGCAAGGAGAAAAACTTATATGACACAAAGACTCCTGCTCTGAAGAAAAAAAACCCAGGTTCTTCCCTGGCAGCTCTGGAACCCTGAGAGTTTGAGTAGAAATAACCCTCTTGCCATCCCCTCCCATGGGGGTTGTCCTTGTAGTTGTCCTCTGTGGCCACTAGATGGTGACCATCTGGCTTTAAGATGGCACTTCCAGTCTCTTTGTCTTGCTTAGTTGATACCATTTTTCCCATTATGGTCATATAATGAGTCTGATGAGGGAGAGTGAGATAAACCCATGCAGCCAGTCTAGCGTTTTAACTAGAACTCCCCTTCTCCCATCCAGCCCACGCACTGTGCCATCATCTCATTTGATCATCTCAGCCGCCCTACAAGGCGGGCACTCTCCTTCCCACTTTAGAGACGAGGACTCTCAGAATCCGAGAGACGAAGGCACTTGTGCAGTGGCCCCTGGCTGGCTGGTCAGTGGTGACGGGATCTCTGTTCCCGGCTCTGTCCCAGCGCAGGCACAGCTACTGACATGTAGCTGACGTTCAGGAATCAGTGTTGAATGCACAAAGCAGAGAAGTGGGATTGGCTTCCCAGTGGCCTCAGAGTCACTGGAGAGGGTTGAATTGGATCACACAGCACTTGGTCAAGGAGGCCAATAATGTCAACTCCCTGGGAGAAAATCTCCGTCTTCCTCCTGGGTAAATACAGCAGATGGTGTAGGACTCATTGACTCCTTTAACGTTTTCCTCCTCGAAGTGGCTCATCTTTTATTTCAACTGATGATGTCTTCTTTTTCTCTTCCTTCCTTCTTCTGCTTCCTGGAGATTAGCAGGGCACCTAGGGAAAGATGTGACCCTGGAAGGTACTCACTTGCCCTGCCCTGGGTAACCCCTGCCTGGGAGCCCACACGGGAAGACCAGAGCCTCGGACCAGCTGCTCCCACCGCAGTGGCCCAGCCTCCAAGAGTGTGGTCTGGCCAGGGGAGGGGAGGCAGGCGGCAGAGCAGAAAGCACAGGGACTTTGGGGCTGGAAAGACCTGGGTTTGAATGTCAGTCCCTGCTGTCCCATTTCCTGTAGTGTCACCTTAGACAGGTGCATATCCCCGCAGCACCTCAGATCCTTCATGTGTAACATGAGGATAATAGTGTCAGCCTCAGAGGTGGTGGTTTGTAAAAGCTAAATGAGTAGCACCCGAGTTGCCTAACACCTCAGTTCCCTTCCCGAGTATTGGTCTCCTACAGAAGTCAAGGAGTTCTTCTTTGAAGAATATTTCCACATCTCCAGAGAATCATTCAATTTTCAGTCCCAGAGATTAATGGGGGTTGGGGTTAGGGAGGAAGGGGGACTTTCCCTCAACAAAAGCCTGGTTATGCCCCTCAGAGGTACTGCTTGTGCCTGGCAGGAGGAACCCTGGGACACAGAAGTGAGACTTTTGTCCCAAACTGGGGAACAGACATGCAGCGATGGTGGGGAGAGCAGCAACGATGTAGAGTGCCAGGGAGCGGCACTCCCAGGGGCTAAAGGACAGGGCTGAGTCCTAGGGGATTCCTCCTGTCTTCCTTTGTGTCCTCAGAGTGCCCAGGAGTACCGACGACGAAGCCTGCTGGAGAAAGAACTGCTTTTCTTTGCTTACGATGTTTTTGGAATTCCCTTTGTGGACCCGGTGAGCCAGGGTGCAAGAGCTAGAAGGGAGGGGAAGAGAAGGGATGGGTAGAGGATGAGGGTGAGTGGCATGTACCATGCAACCCTGGGAAAAAACTGTTAGGGGCTGAGCCAAGCATGGGATGTGTGAAGGGCAAGGATGGGAAACAGGAAGATGAAAGGGGAACCCCGGGCAGCTAGAAGTGACATAGGTTCAGAAAGCTCCTGATTGCTCCTGATCTCCTAAAAGGAGGCTAATACGGTGGATGCGGCAGATTTCTCCTGTAGGCCCTACTCTGTGCATTGCCATCTGGAAGATTAAGTAGGCCGCCTTACCTTGTTAATTTTTTCCTGACCTACTTAGGATTCATGGACTCCAGAAGAGGTGATTCCCAAGAGATTGCAAGAGAAACAGAAGTGAGGATCTTGAAGAAACTGCATGGTTGGATCGGTCTGATGAAGCACTTGAGGCTTCCTGAGCCCAGGCAGATGTGAATTCCTGGCAAGGGGTGGGCAGGTCCAGTCTGGGAAGCTGGGGTGGGAGCCCAGGGCTGGCCCCGGAATTCAGTCCTCAGAGCAGCTGTGCTCACAGGTCGGAACGGGAAACAGCCGTTCGCATCTCTCAGGAGATCGGGAACCTTATGAAGGAGATCGAGACCCTTGTGGAAGAGAAGACCAAAGAGTCATTGGATGTGAGCAGGCTGACGCGAGAAGGTGAGAGGACAGAGCTTGGGGCACACCTGCAGCTGCTGTTGGGAGCCGGGAGGTCACCCCACACTAGCCGGGCAGCATCCCCCACAGCAATGCAAAGCTCACCGAGGGCCAGCCTCAGGGCCCGAGTCCAGCAGGTGTCCTTCCTCACTCACCTACGGGACTTCATGTGGAAAGAGCACTGGCAGTGGCCTTTGGTTGAGAAGTACGACTCTTATGTCACAGGAAGTATGACTCTTATGTCACAGTGTAGTCCACTGCCACTAGCATTTATAGGATGAAACTCATCCTGTCTCCCCACTCCCCAATTTTTTTCTCCCGACTTCCACCATTTGTGCTATTACTGAGACTCAAAACCTTTAGGCCTCCTTTGGCTCCTCCTCCTCCCGTCTGTCCCCTCCAGGCTGCTGGGAAGGACCACCGACCACGATCACAGCTCCGCTCTGCTGCTTCTCATCTCTGTCCTCAGGCTCTGTCTCTTCCCGTTGTCCCAGGCCACCCCTTCTGTCTGCAACCCCCTCTCATCCAGCCTGTCCTTGCCCTTCCCACACGTGGTTGCTAGGCCAGTCTTCCAGACCCTGGGCCTCTGACCCACCCTCCCCACCCACCTGCTTAGCCAAGTGTTCTCTTCCCCTGTCTGCACCTTGCGCTCTGAGCCTGCCCTCTGCCCATGCTTATCCCTCCTCCTAACACGCTCCCCACCGTCTCTGTGCATGAGGCAGCTCAGGTACACTCTGCAAAGCCTGTCTTAGCCTCCCAGCCGATCGGGGTCCCCTTCTTTCTTCTGAACTTCCTAGGCATTTATGATCTCCTTGTGCTGGTTATCTGTGTACTTGTTGGAGAACAGGTACTGTCTCCACGTATTCATCCCTCCCATCTGTCACAGTGAGCCTCAGTGAGGCCTCAGTGAGCAGGTGGAGTTAAATTGAGTCTCTAGTATGTTCCCGGCACAGAGAGACAGCATGAGAACTGTAAGAGAGAAACGTTGGCCTTTGCCCTGCGTTGATTAAATTAACAGTGGTTAATTTAACAACATTAGCATGTGAAAAGAATTTGTCCAGATTGTAAGATCCTTATTTTAAATGAATGATGATGATGATACAATAGTAGCCAAAATGTTGAGCATTTACTGTGTACCAAATATTGTGCTAAGCTTTCAACTTGCCTTACATGTTCTTAACATCAAACTGGCATCAAACGTATGAAGTATATGCTGTTAAACAGATGAGAACCTTTTAATTAAAATTACCCTCAGGAGATCAGTACCTTGTCAAAGTCACACAGCTAATAAGTAGAGGATCCAGGAGTCAAACCCAATTCCTTCTGATTCTGGAGCTTGTGTGTTAGGAATGGGTTTATGATGTGTCCTCAATTTGTGAAGGTCCAAGAGCCAGCAGTTATTTGGTCATAGAGCTATGACAGGGCTTGGATCTCATCTGTCAGCTCCAAGTGCTGTCCCCTGCATCACCATACCTTTGGAAGTGGCAGAGCAAGAGGATTTCTCTGGTGCATAGGAAACAACTGGAATTTCCCTCCATTACAAGGAGACAATATTCCACGGAGAGTCCTTGGACTGAGCTGCTACTGGATTTGGCTGGAGTCTTGCCACTGTTTTGCAGGTGGCCCCCTGCTGTACGAAGGCATCAGTCTCACCATGAACTCCAAACTCCTGAACGGCTCACAGCGGGTAGTGATGGATGGCCTGATTTCTGACGATGAGTGTCGGGAGCTGCAGAGACTGACCAACGTAAGGGAAGCCCAGTGACTGCACCTGCCCCCTAAGGGTCCAACTTCCCCCACCTTAGGTGGTGAGCATTTACCTGCCCCATGCTGCCCACAGTTGGCCACCTCTTATCAAGCCCTTAGCTGCCCTGGCTAATGTCACCATGGTTTTTGGGCCTTGTAGGCGGCAGCAACTTCAGGAGATGGCTACCGGGGTCACACGTCCCCACATACGCCCAATGAGAAGTTCTATGGTGTCACTGTCTTCAAAGCCCTCAAGGTAGAACCAACACTGGTGTCCTAGAGTGTGGAGAAGGGTTGGGGAAGGAGACGCTCGGGCTCCGGGGAGGAGTTGGGAATGGCAGCAAGAAAGGAAGAGTGTCTGCCTGCTGCCGTTCCAGTGGCCATGGAGCAAGGATGAGTTGTGTTGAATGAGGTTAACTTTTAAATCCCGGCTGGGAGAGCGAGTGTAACAGAAATGAGGTGAGCAAGGCAAGACCAGTATTCAAAGCTATGAGATGCTTTCTGAAGAATGGCCCATTCCAGAGGGTTGTGATTCTGAGCAGGATGCACAGGTTATTCACAAAGAGAAGCACTAAGGGGGAAGAGTAATAGGGTGGGGTGTCGGGTGTGGGAAGCAGAGAGACTGCAGTTTCTGTGGGGCGCCTGGTGCCTCAGTGTCTTTGGCAGCCTGCAGAGGGGCGTGGGGTGTTCAAGGCAGCTGACCACCTGTCTCCTTGGCAGCTGGGGCAGGAGGGGAAAGTCCCTCTGCAGAGCGCCCACCTGTACTACAATGTGACCGAGAAGGTGCGGCGCGTCATGGAGTCCTACTTCCGCCTGGACAGCCCCCTCTACTTCTCCTACTCCCACCTGGTGTGCCGGACTGCCATCGAAGGTAGGCCCGGTCAGCCCTGCAGTCCCCAGGCGCGCTGTGCCTTGGCACAGTGCTGCACACTGAGGATGTAGAGAAGAACAGGGTGTGGCCCCCTTCCTCCCGGTTGGGGGAACAGTGCAAACAAATGGGTGGCAGCCCAATGTGATGACAGTAGCATGGAGGAAGTCACTATCAGACTACCAGGGGTCAGGAATGCTTCCCAGAAGAGGGGATGGTAGTTTTGCAGGATCATGTGATTGTGGAGTCCACAGGGCAGTGGGAAGGCATTGGAGCCAGAGAGCCGTGTGTGCAAGGGAGTGGAGACGTTGAGCAGCCTGGGAGTTGGCGGAACTAAGAAAGTTGCCAGATCATGGAGAACTACATTGAGGAGTTGCTGTTTATCCTCTAGATCAATTGTGAGCTATGTGGCAAGTTCTCTGTTAAATTGTCAAATAAAAATTCATGAGAGAACTACTTAGTTCACAGCTCAGAGCAGATTCGAGGTTGTTCCTGGTTCCCTCTCTCGGGGTTCCCTTTGCTTTCCTGAGTAGGGCGAGGCACAGCTGGTGCTGCTGGCTCCCTGGTGGCCCGCAGCTGGCTCTGTCCTGCCACAGCCTTCAGAGGGCCCCTGGCGCCAACGTACCATTGACAGGTGGCTGAGATTAGAGGCCTTTGCTCTCCTGCAGGATGTTTGGGGTTCTATCAAAACCTGGGCACACCAGAGGACTGTCAGACATGCACCTGTGTGTGTCACAGTCGCAGGGTGAGGGGCAGGGACTCGGCCCAGGCTGAGTCATGGGGTGAAAGATATGGTGAGGCCCTTGCTTTTAAAAGATTAGTTTTGCTGCTGTGTGTTGAGAGATCTCAAACCAGAAAGGGAAGCTGGTCAGCAGTGACCTGGGAGGGGTGAGAACAAAGGCCTGAGCTTGGGAAGTGGCAGTGGAAGGAGAGAGGGAGAAACCAGGGATGTGCAGGAGGTGGGCGGGCAGGACCTGGTGACTGGCTGGGCAAGTGGGGATGGATGAGGAGGCACCACGGGGAACTGGCAGGGCTGCTGGCCCACGCAGGGACTGGGACGGGGGCGGGGGGGCTTGTTTAGCACCCTGAGTGGTCTGCCTGGCATTTCACAGTAAGCCCCACCTGGTCCCTGCATGATTTCTCCACTCATGCCCACCCAGAGCCCTCCAGGAGCTCACACCTTACCATGCTGGCCATTTCCCTCTGCTCCCCTTCCTGCCACCTCTCTTGTCTCCTGCAGTCCTCACGGAAGATTGGCTCACACTGCCCTGTGTCCTGCCCACCTCCTGGCTCCCCATTTTCACTTCCTGGGCCCTTCCTGTTTTGTAAAGTCTAGCCACAAACGAGGGTCGCAACATTCTGCCCGGGCTCTGCCCTCGGGTGGAGCCCCACAGTCCTGCTTGTCACCCCTGCTCGCCACTGCCAGGGACATCCCAGGAAGCCTGCAGACTTGTCCTGGCCCATGGGCGCCTGGCTTAGCCAGAGACACCCCTGGTGGTCATGTCCATAGACCCAAACACCTCCCCTGCCACGAGGAGAGCTGTGCCACCTCCTGAGGTGCCCTGTGCTAACGTGTGTGACCTTGGCCCAGAGGCCCAGGCCGAGAGGAAGGACAGTAGCCATCCAGTCCACGTGGACAACTGCATCCTCAACGCCGAGACCCTCGTGTGTGTCAAGGAGCCCCCTGCTTACACCTTCCGGGACTACAGGTGAATGTGGGGTGCATGGTGTGGGAAGCTTGCACCTCCTGTGAGGCCCAGGACCTTGCAGTCCATCCCCGCCCCAGCACACGCACACTGGTTGGGGCAAGCTGTTCCCAGAGTCCAGTCCTTTGCCCCGGCGCCCTGGACAAGAAGACAGAGGCCCCTCACAGTGTGGCGTGATGAGCACCCGACGGCACAGAAGCACCTGGGAAGGGCAGGCAGGGTTCTTTGAGGCAAGGGTGGCGGGAGGGGAGGTTGGGGTCTGCGTTTGTGGGCTTCAGAGGACAAAAGGCCACCCCCAGCTGCTGGCTGAGAGCGCGTGGAGGTGGAGACCCTGCGCAGTGGGGGGAGAAGGGCTGTGTCGAGATGTCTTTGCCTGTCCCAGCGCCATCCTCTACCTGAACGGGGACTTCGATGGAGGGAACTTCTATTTCACTGAACTGGATGCCAAGACCGTGACGGTGAGCACCCCTTCGTCCTCATCCCCAGGAGATAAAAACTCTGTTTTCTGGAGCTGATGTCCCCAAAGTGTAGTGGACACAGGGACCAACTGAGCTCTGGTGGGCAGCACCCCCTTCCCCATGCCAGCCCCTCTCCCATAGGTCACCCTTTCTCTTCGCTCTGGCCTGGGGGAAGCCGAGCTGCAGAGCTGCCCTCAGTCCTGGCCCCAGTGGGCCCATGTCTCCTCTGATGGTGGGTGACAGCCCCTGTCCTCTGTGTCCCCCTTTCTGTTCCCCTTAGGCAGAGGTGCAGCCCCAGTGTGGAAGGGCCGTGGGATTCTCTTCAGGCACTGAAAACCCGCATGGAGTGAAGGCTGTCACCAGGGGGCAACGCTGTGCCATCGCCCTGTGGTTCACCCTGGACCCTCGGCACAGCGAGAGGGTGAGAGCGGTTGGTGCTGCCGTCACCTGTTCTGGAGGGCCCTTGTCTTGTCTCCTGCTTCCCCAGTCCCATTGCCAGTGGCTTAGACGTGAAGGGAACACTGGGCTTGGGACGCGCAGCCCCAGTCCCGTGTCACCGTGTCCACATTGCCTCATCCTCCCTGGGCCTTCCTCCTTACCTGTGAATGGGGCTCCAGGTGGGGTGGCCAATATGGGGAGTGACGCTGAGCTCTGGGTCCCTCCTTGGGCCTCAGCTGTTCTCGTCCAGGACCTGCTGGGAAGGAGATGAGCCCAGAGCCATTAAGGAAGCACCTTCGTTGTCCTCTGGGAAGCAGCTGCGGAGAGATGATGAGTGCCTGGGCCACAGGCCTCTCTGAGTGGGCAGGGGTTTGTCCTTGCAGGACAGGGTGCAGGCGGACGACCTGGTGAAGATGCTCTTCAGCCCAGAAGAGGTGGACATCCCCCAGGAGCAGCCCCTGGACACCCAGCAGGGCCCCCCCAAGACTGCAGAAGAGTCTCTCTCAGGCAGTGAGTCGACACCCAAGGATGAGCTATGACAGTGCACAGGCCACAGGTCGATTGGTGCTAGGACCCATGGGCAGGGGGACTGACCAGCCCCTCGCGGCCATGGGGCACTGGGCCTGCCTCCACTGCCCAGCAAAGGGGTCCCGCTCATGGCCCTCTGCACGGTGCTGCTGCTCTGGGAGTGGACATGGCAGGATGCTGCTCCTCTCTGGATCCGGCCCAGGGCTCGGGACGCAGGCCCAGAGCCACCCCAGGGGCCTGCGCAAGCAGCCGCGTGACAGCAACACAGTATTTAAGTGATGGTGTAGACAACGAAAGAATAAATGATTTGTGTTTTTTTACTTGGTAGTTTGTTTGGAGAGCAGACATACACCATTCTGCCCCAGAGGTCCCTCTTGTAAAAAATCGCTCTGGGCAGGGTGCAGCGGCAGGTGTGGGTGAGAAGGCCTGGCTCAGTGCCCGCCGTGGCCACGTGCTGTGCAGCCTCAGGCCACTTAACCTCAGGGACCTCGGGTTGTCATCTGTATGATGGGGATCATGGTTCCCCTCTGCCCACCTTCTGGGGCAGTAGTGTGGCCCAGATGCAATATTGGATGTGACAGCACTTTGTAAACTGTAAAGCTCTGGATGAATGGTCGGGATTACTGTTAATCCTCTTCTGGCAGGGAGCAGCGGTCAGCAGTGCTCTGGCACGTTGCCCCCGTGCCGGCCACATGCTTCCTGCTCTGCCGTCTGGCCTCAGAGTCTTGTATGTCAGGCCTCCGGGCACAGGATGACACACCTCTAGGAGACAGAGAGTGGGACTGGAGACTCAGCTTCTCTGGCCATGTCCCTGGTGCCAAGCCCAGCCCCTTACTGTGCCTGAGACGCTGTAGGGCAGTGAGTGTGGGAACCTGTGCTCCGAGCGTATTTGGGTGCTGGGAACATAGTAGTAAACAAAGCAAGTCCCCACCCTCCCAGAGCCTGTTTTGTGGGAGAGACAGATAATAAACACATAAATATGTGTGTGTGTGTATATGTTGTGTGCACATAATCCTTTGGGGTAGAAAACACAGCAAGTCAGGGCCCCAGGGTGGGAGGAGCAGCTAGGAGCCAGCATGGCAGTGCAGAGTGGGTGACAAGGAGCGTGGGGTGGGGGGGGCGGCAGGGGCCTCAGGGCTTTGTAGACCACTGTGAGCACGGGGGCTTTTATCCCGCACCACAGGGGCCCTGGAGGGTTTTGAGCAGCAGAGTGATAGCATCTGACTTACATTTTAAAAGCTACTATGAACAATTTATTGGCCATTGGCCACACAGAGAGCAGAGAGGGGCCCCTACCGTGATTCGGTAGGGGGTGGTGGAGCCAGGCCGTGGGCAGTGAAAGGAGGGAAAGACATCAGGTTCAGGTGCTGTTTTTAAAGCAGAGCGACAGGAGTTGATGATGGACTGGGTGTGAGGGCTGAGATAAAGCAGCAAGAAGAAGCCTGAGTAGTAGGAACATGCAGCTGCCTCGTCCTTCCCAGTGGCTGGGGGGTGGGTGGGGGACACTGCAGGAGACAGGCTGGCAGGCGAGGAAACCAGGAGTTCGGTCTTAGCTGTGTTAGGCCAGTTGACCAGCTGAGCTGAGCCAAGAGGGTGGTGTCCCTGAAGCCCAGGAGAGAGCGCTTCAAGGAGGGAGGGAGCAGCTACATCAAATGCTGCTGAGAGGCTGAGCGAGGTGACAACTGAGCATCCACCTTTGGATTTGGTAACACAGACCAGCGGAAACTCTGGTGACAGATGTTTTGGGGAGATGGTGTGGACGAAAGCCTGGAGTGAGCTCAAGTAAGGATGGGAGGAGAATGCGTGGTGGTGGTGGGCATGGACGGCTCTTTGGGAGTCTGGCTGTGGGTGGGCGCAGAGGATGAGCTGCAGGGAGGTGTGAAGTCAAGAAACGATTACTGGCCCACGCCTGTAATCCTGGGAGGCCGAGGTGGGAGGATGGCTTGGGGCTAGGAGTTGGAGTTGCAGTGAGTTATGATGACACCACTGCACTCTAGCCCAGGTGACACAGCAAGACCCTGTCTCAAAAAAAGGAAAGAAAAGAAATGATTACTTTGCTAGCTGGGTGATAGAGCTGATGGAGTGGTCCTATTGAGGCAGTCACTATACCTTTGTCATCGTGGATCCCTGCTGTCCTATTGGGTGACTTACTTGCCATACAGAGAAAGGACCGCATTAGTGGAGAGAACATGAACTTTACCCACACGATGAGCTGGGCAAGACATTCACTTCACCACTTGGAGTCGCATGACCTTCAGCAAGTCGGGCCCCCTGAGCATGTTTCCCCACCATTGAGATGGGATTGCAATCCTTCCTCCCAGGTGGCTGAGAGTGTTAAAACGGGAATGCTCACAGAGCCACAGCATGGCACTTAGCACATGCTAGATACTCAACATTACAGAAAACTATCTCAGCCTGATTCTGGTTTTCCAGAAGTTTCCGCAAGGAGGCAGATGACCTTTACAATTTCAGCATATGCTAATCACACACAGGCAGGAGACTCTCAGTTGAGCTCAAGAGAGGCCAGATGTTTCCAGTGGCAGCAGGAGCAAGATAAGTGTATATAATGAGGGTGGGGCGAGTCCTCCTGGAAGCAGGGGGAGCTGGCAGGGTCCCAGCTGAGGCACGACTGTGACTGCAAGGTCGCTGCTCTGTAGCACACGTGCATGGGAGGACGTTTGCTTGCGATGAAGGCAGAGAGCCCCTGGGAGTATTACAGAGGATGAGAGGCAACTTGCAACATGGGAAAGATTTGAGCTTGGGAGAGGCTGGTCTCTGGAAGCCCAGGCAGCTGGCAGAGCGCTCAGCAGGAGTGCCAAGAGATAGGCGCTGTGCTCGGCGTTGTTTGCAGAGGAGGGGGAAGGACCATGGGACTGCCACGTGTGCCACAGTGGCATCCTGGCCCTGGGAGAGACAGTGGGACAAAAACATGAGGATGCTAGTGTGGCCTCAAGGTGCTCACAGTCCTCAGGAAGGAGACAAACGATGTGCTAAGTGCAGTGAGTGGAAACATGCAGAGTATTTTGGGATTCCAGATGCGGATGCTTAGCCCTGCCTGGGCAGGCAGGACAGCTAGGCGGGGCCACATGCTGGCTGTGTGGCTTTTGAGCTGTGCATGCCCGAGGCAAGGCTTCCCAGGAGCCTGTGCTTCTGCAGGAAACTCAGACTCTGAGTTAGGAGGCAGTAAGACCAGCACCACTCCCTGAGCCTCCAAAGTGTCAGCCGGAGTCTGCAGAGAATGCTGGATTGCAAGCAGCAGAACTAGACCCTCCTCACTGGCCATGGGAGAGGGTGCTGGAAAGGACTCCGATTTTCACTGGGAGGGAGGCGAAAACTTGAACGTTCACACTGACCAGTCAATGATCAACACATACCTGCCAAGGCCGGCTCTGGGCCTGGCACCGTTGGGAAGAAGTAGTAGCGTGTCTTCAGCCACTGGCAGTCTGCCCACACCCAGCATGGAAAGACTTGAGGGGGAGGCCTATCCAGGGGGGAGTCATTTTGGAACACAGCTTCCATTAGCCACAGTTCTTCAGGCATTTTATGCTTTCAAACAGCATGTCCCTCCTACCATTTGATCCTTGTAAACTCTCTCATGGACCAGAAGCCAAGTCATATTATCCCTACTTTTTAGTCCAGGACCCAGGCCCAGAGAAGCTGAGGAACTTGCCTAATGTCACACAGCTTTTCAATGGCAGAGGTAAAGCTAGAACCCTAGGTTTCTTGTAAGTAAAAGCACTTTTTAGATACTGAAGTGTGCCACCTGGGGCAGTCTCAGCGCTTACTGGAGGCTTGGGGGTGGCGGGGTGCTGAGCCATCCTGCTCTCCCCAAATGCCTGGGAGTCACTGGACTGCAGGGGGCCCCCCAGGAGTGGTGGATGCCCTGGGTGGAGAAGTTTTGCCAGGTTAGGGAATGCCACTGCAGAAGCAGGATCTGAATTCCAGAAGTCTTCAGAACACTGGAGAGGGAAGGCTGTAGGGTAGGAGGAACAGACTCAAACCTCAAATGACAAAGAGAAGGGATAAGCAGAAGAGCTTTGGGGGAGAATGTGAGCACCATTCTAGATCACGAAGAGGCTCTGGGGTGCCAGGATGGAGGAGCACGCAGGCATCCTGCTGCCCCTTTGGCCCCGGGAGCAGTGGCTCACTCTCCTCTTTGGCACTCGGCTCCCTCACTTGTCAACGGAAGGGGTCGCAGGCCACGGTCTCTGAGGGCCTGTGTGGCTCCAGAGCTCAGAGACCTGACCCAGGTCCTCCTGAGACCAGAACGACCCCTGGATCTTCCTTACAGAGATAGCCTCTGCAGAAGGTGCGGAGAGGGGGCCGAGGCCCAGCTAGGGGAGAGGCCTCGCCTTGGGGGACAGCACGCGCCGAGCAGCTGCCGTGTGCAGGCCCACCCTCCGCCATGTTGACCCTAACCCACGGCCACAGAGGCCAGCTCAGGTCACTGCTAGGGAGCGTCATCTGATTGCCCACCTCTTCCAACCTGCACCCAGTGCCTCCCTGAAAACAGCAGGGTGTGGGGGACAGACCGTGGAAGCCAGCACCACACAGCGAAGTGTGGGAAGCCGCCCTTCCCAGCTGGGGTGAATTACCTCCCTGGTCTGCGTGCTGCAAAGAGGCCTGCCTGCCTGCAAGGGCTGCCTGGAGGCGGAGATGAATTAGTGCATCAGAAGCACTTCACAGCTGCCCACTTCATCCCCAGGAGGTGCCCCTGGACCCTTCTGGCTTGTCACTGTGGCAGTAGAATTTGAGCTCAGGACTGACTTCCCTGCCACAGTTCTAGACCGGCAGAACAGTGGGTTTTGCTTTTTGGGACTCGCAGGCCATCCCAGGAAACAAGTCTGTGTGTGCCCAGATCCCCACATCTCCGACCGTCCCAGCACGGAGGGCCTCAGAGGGACCCAGTGTGCAGCACCGCAGGCCAAACAGTGCCCACCCTTGACTGACCCTCAGCGGGCAGCTCACTCCCCCAGCTCTGGCCAGAGCTGCAGGCCATACCAGGGGCCTACGCCCTGGGCGGGCACACAGGCTGCCATTGTCTGCTCAGCGCCTGGCACCCTCTTGTTTGCATAGCCACGTGAAGAATGCAAGGGAGCCCATCCCTGGGGTTGGGGGCACTGGGGCTGTGGGGGAGGCAGCTGGCAGGGTCGGCAGCAGGACCCTGCCTTCCCCTGGCGTGGTCCAGGAAAGGAAGTGGCCGGTGGGGATGCAGGGGCGGCTGGGGGGCTGGTGGAGTGGGAGCAGGGTGGTGACATTCCTGCTGCACCCACGCTGAGAGCCCCTGGGGCCCAGCTGAACGTGAGGGGATTGCTAATGAGGCTGAGGAGAGTTAAACATTCCCCTGTTCCTGAGGGCTGAGCTCAGATGGGAGAGAGAAGGGGAAGTGGGGGAGCCAGGAGGAAACAGCCTGAACCCCAGGAATGTGCAAAGGCCTCTGCTCCACGCCAGGCTGTTCTGGAGCTGGGGGCCAGGGCCCAGTGTCCCAGGTCCCAGCAGGAGTTGCTAAGCCAGCCAGCAAGGGGATTAACGGGCTGAGCAACCCGCCTTCCTTCAGGCTGATGCCAGAATGTCGGTGCTGTCTCCCCAGCTCCCCGCCAAGCCCCTTGCTGGCCGGCAGCCAGCTCCTGTCAGCCTCGATGGGGCCCCTCCTCCGTCCCCCTCACATCCCAAATAGACCCCACAGAACATATTCCCTGGCCTAGTCTCCCCTACATTTGACACACACAGCTCCCAGCTAGCTACCAGGGACCCCTCTCCCCAACACCCATCCCTAGCCCAGTCTCTCCACATCTGGCTTCAGAGCCCATGCCAAAAAGTTCTCCTTGATGTCTAACTCTAGTTTTACCTGCTGCAAACTGTAATTCCTTTTCCACTCTGTCCTAAAGTCAGAAGACAGAAAACCCCAAGGGTCAGATCAGCATTGCAAGAGCAAAGTCCATCATCCCAGGGCTGGTGCTTTGGGTAGGGATTAAAGAATTT